GGAATCATCTTTCCAATCTGGGGGTCAGGAAACTGTGGCTGTGAAGTCTCACAGGTTGGAAGTGACAGAGTTGAAATGAGAACCCAGGTCTCCTGGCTCCCAGCCTGTGTCTCCTCCACCAGCTTATGGATGGAGACACTCAGAATCTCTCTGGGAGTCATCTTCCCCTCCTCCCTTCTACCCCATGTCCCATCCAACTGGTCCTGAGAATCCCACCTTTAAATCTGCTATGAAGCCTCATTCCCACTGCTGCAGCATCCCCACAGAGGGTCCCCACCCATCGCCTTCCACTGCAGCAGCCTCCTCGCTGGTTACCCCGTGTCCGGTATCTTTCCAGCCACGTGATATTCACCAGCTGCCAGAGCCTTTTCTAAAACTCATCTGATCACCTCACTCTTCTGCATAAAACTCCTCTGAGAGACAACAACACATCAACGTGATTTAATTAACCCTGGATTTGAGGTAATTTTATTTTCTTCTTTATACTTCTCTTTATCTGACAACTTTTCTACAATGAGCATTTGATACTTATGCAATCAGAAAAAAGATAATTTCTTAAAATCTTCCAATCTTTCCAAGATAATATCAAAACACCTTCAGCTGTACAGACCAGATTCTGCCTGCCTATTTAACCACATCTCTTGCTATTCCAATTCTCTCCTCATTCTTCTTAAAATTCCTTTACCATCTCCAAATTGTGCTTTATTCTCCAGCAACATGAGAGATACTCAACTATTAATGGTTCCTTGGACACCTTGTGCTTTTTTACACTTCTGGATTTTTAAGTAGGCTGTCCATCTTCCTCTTGTCTACCTGGAGAACTCCTATTCATCCTTTAAAACCTCAGATGTCACCTCCACTGTAAAGTCTTCCCCGATAACCACCTCCCACAATAGAGTAAACTCCCCCTTTATATTGCTTTGTGTTTTTGCCTAGTGCTTTATCTGTGTGACTTCCCTACTAGGGAAAAGGACAGTACCTGATATATCCTGTTACATAGCTTGCTTTCCAGAAATATGTACACAACAGAACTCGGAGAGATCTCAATTGTTGGCTGGGTTTGGTGTCTTTGATTGGGGTTTTTTCTGTTGGTTCTTCCAGAAACAGAACCTGAAACAAAGAATTGAATTCAAGAAATTTATTTAGGAGGAGATACTGGAAGCACTGATAGAGGAGGGGGGAGGTAAGAAAGGGAAGGAACCCAACAGAGGGGACGTTAAAAAGCAGTTACTACCAAATATAAAATCGATAGCTAGTGGGAAGTAGCCACATAGCACAGGGAGATCAGCTCGGTGCTTTGTGACCACCTAGAGGGGTGGGATAAGGAGGGTGGGAGGGAGACGCAAGAGGGAGGAGATATGGGGATATATGTATATGTATGGCTGATTCACCTTGTTATAAAGCAGAAACTAACACACCATTTGTAGAGTAATTATACTCCAATAAATATGTTAAAAAAAAAAAAAAAAGCAGTTATGGCTGTGGGCAGCTGTTGGTCAGTCCTGCTGGGAACTTCTGGGAGACAGCATTGACCGTGCCTCGGAGTTGCCCCATCCCTGGGCAAGGAAGCTGGAGTATTTATCCATGAAGGCTGCTCCCTTCAGCCTTCCCTGGAAGGGAAGCTGCGTTCCCAGCACTCCCAGCCTGTCTGGTGTGTGGGCTGTGCGAGCTCCTGTTGCCAGAAAAAGTCTCCCATCAGAGTCCCAGGTACGGGCAGTAGGAAGCTTGTGGGTCAGGTCTGCGTTGGCAGGAATAGTGGATGACGAGTGGTGTTGGTGAGGCAGTGGAAGTGTTCACTACAGAGATGGAGGGAGACACCCTCCCAATACATGCACATCACTGGAGGGGCCGCCAGCAAGTCCTGAGGTTTCCACTTTGTGGTTTCAGAGACTTCTGAAGGACAGCAGTGAGGATACCAGCCCGCGGCTGTGCTGAAGGGGAAGACATCTCTCTCCATCTCTGGCCCAGACTCCCTGCCCTCAGTTCCAAGAGCCATGGGGCCATGTGGCTTCTCTCTGTGCCCTGCCTCCTGCCCCTCCAGGTGGCCTGAGGGCAAGTGGGTGGGCAGGCGACTGGAGCATTATCAGAGCTAACGGGATCCCTGGGGAGGCGTCACTTCCACTTACCACGGCACTTGGTGACACAGGCCATGGGCACAAGGTGATGGCTGGTGCTGTCAGCCCAGCTCTGGCCATCTCCCTGCAGACACCAAGACCCTGACACACAAAGGCTGGTCTGGAGGTTATTTGGAATCCAAGTGGCTCAGTCCTGGAAGTGTCCTGAGGATACTATCAGAAGCTGCACCCCTATTGCACTGATGAGGAAAATAAGGCCAGAGAGGAGAGGTTCGCCTGTACATTTCCTCCCTTCCTTCTTTCCTCCTTCACTCCTTCCTTCCCATCTTCCTCCCCCCCCCCCCCCCCCCCCGTTGATCAGGGGCATTAGACTGATGTCCTTGACGCTGACCTGCCCTGGGTCATTGGTCACTGGTATAGGTTAAACTGCATTTACAAATAGCAAAAAAGTGTCCTCAGTAAAAGACCCCTAGGAGCTGAAATCAGTCTCCTTCAGGACACCTCCCACTAAAGTCCCCCAGGTGTCCCTGAGGCTTCCAACCTACCCCGATGGGACTCATCTGGGTTAGAAGAGTCTAAGGACTCTTCTCTATGGAGCTCCTACCCTACCTGGGACCACATTTGGGCACAGGCATTAAAGAGCGTCTATCCATCACTGACGATGGATACAACCATTTACATCCCCTGCCTGGATCTAAATACAGACTGACATCTCCACACGGGTAATAAACGGCACCTGGAACTCCCATGTCCAAGATAGAATTCTTGATGCCCCCTTGCTGACCTGCATGCACACCTGTTCCTCCTCACCTTCCTCATTCCAGGTGATGGCATATTTTTCCTTGTAGATCCTCAGAGGCCAAAAACCTTG